CGCCGGCTCTGGGGTCCCCGCTCCCTCCCGGGCCGCGGGCGCTCGCAGTTGCATTTTGCTGGCTGAGTGCGGTGGGGAGGCCACCGTGGTCGGGGGTCGTCTCGCTTGGCTTGTGCGGGCGTCTCGTGTTCTGGGTGGACGCGGCTGCGGGAAGCCCGGCCGTTCTGAGCGCTGCGGGTTTCTTAGCCCGGCCTGGCGGCCGAGTGGGTGAGACTGCCGCTCCTTAACGAAGTCACTTTTGCTCTATTTTTTGGCTCCGACACTCCCACCCCCTTACACTAATGCACCCTCCCACATTCCTGGGAGTGGTGGACAGTCTGCGCCTGCATAATGCCTTGACCGCTACCGGGGGAAGCCGTGATTGTCTGCTTTCTCGCTTCGCCAAGGAGCTTAGTCGTTTGCAAAAGGCAACTTGTTTTCTTAAGACGCCAGTTGTTAGTATTTAAATCTGTTTTTTTTTAATTGAGTTGAAATTTCCCATAATATTTTCCATTGAAAATGTTAATTTGCTTCTGCTTCGTCTGGGAAAATGTTGAGAAATATTTGGGCAATAATAATCTATCGCCCAAGCCATGAATTTTTAATGTTAACTGCTTCTCCAACCTATAGAGAGGTGTGTGTGTCTGTGTTTGTAGGGAAGTGGCAAAGTAAAAAAAGTGGTGAAATAACTAAAAATTCTTTTCTATTGCTACATTTTGTTTGGGGACAAAGGATGACAGTTTGAGAATTGTTAAAAGTACCTATGAAAGAATGGATTCCTCCAGCTGCGTTTCTATAATTTCTTGACGTTAATCACCTGTCAGTATGCTTGGCAATGGCTGTTGCTTCATTGTGTGCTTTTCAAGATAAGTGTGGTCAATGATCTGTAGGGTTTTTTTCCCCCCAAACTTTTATTGCCTCTGTAAAACTGTTGCTTGCAGAAGCTATTTTAAATCTAGAACCATTCAAAAAACAAAGTCAATACACTTAGTACCACTTTGTAGGAATGTCAAGAACACTGTTCTAGTAATTAATTCTTATTCATGTAATGGAGCTGGGCTAGTTAATTTGGAAGTGGCACAGCATAGTTTTATAGATCCTGGTGGATAGTCTATGAATTATAAGTAAGGATATTGTATGCTGGTGTTGAATTGGAACTTTTTTTTTTTCTGAAATCTATGACCAGGAGGACTAAGACGCCCAGGAAACCTCTAGGGAAGAAAGGGTCACAAACCAGTCTGAAAGATCCCGTTGGGGTAAGAGCAGTGGCTTTATGTGTGCATATTCTTTCTTTAGAACTTTTCTCTTGTTTACACTTGGAAGTGTAAAGAATTTTTAAATGAGTAAAGCTGGTTCCAACTTTGAAATTTTGTTTCTGTAACAGTAGAGTAAAAAAAAATTCTGGTTGGTTGTCTATGACAAATTTACTGTAACTGACTATAATTTGAAAAATGAGATAATGGAAAATATTCTTCAGCTACCCCAGAAAGTTCTTCATGTTCCCTGGGCAAGGGGAAATTTCTGTTTGGATGAGCATCCTTCCCTACAGTTAGGACGGTTTTGTGCTAACATGGCACACTTCATGAAGAAAGCCCCAAACACCATGCATTCGGGGACAAGTTTTAGAAAGTGTGTGGTGGAGAACAGTTTAGTTCAACCTAATAACTGACTACTCGTAATTGTATGTACTTCATACTTTCATTTCTCTAGTGTGTATATACTTCTCTACTTTTAGGGCTGGGAACTTGCTTTTACAAGTAAAAGGCACATAAAAGAATGTTAATGTGCCTTGGGATATTTTAACTCTCCCCTTCGTTGGTACTAAAATATTTCTTAGTCTGAGGGAACCAGATGCTTTACATAGAACTGAATGATTTTTCTTGCATTTTTATCACAAAGAATACTAATTTCCAATCTTATATATGTGTTATATATATGTTATTAAGCTGGAAGGTTTTAATTGACATCTAGTTTCAATTTAAAATAATTCTCATTGTGCAATGTTGTTTTTAGAGCGATTTCTTTATTAGTAAAGTGTAACTGTTAAATTTGTACCAGTATTAGAATGAACAGAAGCTGGGCATTTAATGTTTTTGCCATCAAAATGTGTTTTTAGGTACATTTAAAACCTATCTAATATATCTGCATTTGATAGTGTTGAGTAGCAGATTTTGGTTTTCATACGTCTGTTTATACAGGTCTCTTAAATTGATAGCAAATGTTTATGAAGTAGACGAATAGGAAGCTCAAGTGAAAGCTAGGTAAAAAGTCAACCTATTTTTTCTCTAAGTGTCCTTTTGTACGTTCAGGTATACTGCCGGGTGCGCCCCCTGAGCTTTCCTGACCAGGAGAGTTGTATAGAAGTGATCAATAGCACAACCCTTCAGCTTCATACGCCTGAGGGTTACAGACTCAACCGAAATGGAGACTATAAGGAGGTATTTCCTATTGGAACCAAGCTGCTTTTACTCAATGTTCATACCTGCATGGCTTTCCTTTTAAAAATTTTAACAGAATGCATGTGTTTCCACTGTTTTTGAAAGACATATTTCACTATAACCACCAATAAATTTCTGGATGTACAGACACCTTTGGTTTACTGGAGTTAGAGGATTGCTTTTGCTTGTGCTGGGTATTGTTTTTAAATGTTATGTTCGGGATCATATAATGTGGGATATGATTATGCTTGGTAGTTTTATATACACACACAACTTCATGTGTGGAACTTAAAATATTTAATAGTTATTACATGTTTGTATCAATCTCTTATGAAGTGTTTTGAGTAAAATGAATTCAGTTATCCTGCTTTAACCTGGAAGTTGGAGATTTTTAAAAATAACTAAGACACAGTCCCTGCTTTTATGGCAGGGGACTTAGTTGGGGACACATAGACGGTAAACAGCAACCCTCATTTAGGTAACAGACGTGCTAGAAGAGTTGCCTTCTGGGGTTCGGAAGAGGTGCATCTCAAATTGTTGCTGCCACTCACACGTGTGTAAAGCCCACCTGCTAATTTGATGAACACCTATTTGTCCTCATCATCCATTCTCAGCTGCAATCTCCCTCCTTTCCTCCCCCTCTCTCCAACTCTGCACATTCTCTTCTCTCATTGGCCACTCTTTGTCAGCTCTTCTTCCTTTTCCAACTTCTAAATACTGGATTATGCTATACCCAGGATTCTTTTCTCACTGTCCTTATCCATGGGCTTAAATATGGCATTAATTCCAGAAGTTTAATCTCTAACCTTTTCTTTAGCTCTAAAGTCCAATCCAATTATACTTACTATCTGTGTTTGGATATCATATAATTATTTCAAATTTTATTGAAAAGAATTCTTGTTTCTTCTAAATCATTTCCTTCTTAGTCTTCTCAGTAAGTAACACCATCATCTGTCTTTTTTCAAATCAGAAATCCTGCTCCTACTTTTCTCTTGTCTTCCCTCATATCCGTTCTTTAGTGGATATTATCTGTTCTACTCCACCGTGTACCTTTCATTTTTATATCCAATGCCACCACCCTGGTGGCATTAGTCACTGAGGCCAGTGTTAAGCAAGCCATATGTGGTTTAAAAAAAAAATCAGTTTTACTTTTCAGTGCATGGTGACTGATATGTTTGTACAGCTTTGCCACATGGTACTAAACTAACCTTTGATGACCCATAAACCACATGTCCAATGACTACCAAAGTTTCTGAACATTTACTCTGTTGCGGTTTTGATTTTCTTCTAGACTGGAAAAGTTTTCCCAGGAGTGTTGTTCTCTGACCACACTCTATCCATACTGACATGGCTATGCTGAAGCCAAACTGGACTGCCTGCTTCTACTCTGAATTTTCTTCTCTAATCCATCTTCCATAGAACTGCCATAAACAGATCTTACCATTTTCCCAATTAAAACCTTTGAAGGAATAAGGTTGGAAAAAGCCTGCTTAATTTAACTTCATGTCTGAGTACTCCTGGAGTCCTTTGAGTTCCTTTGATAAGCTGGAATCCTGCCTCAGTGCTGTTTGCTTGACTTGGACTTTCCCTTGGGTTTCAGCATGGACAGCTCCTCATTCTCAGGTTTCAGCTTAAATGAATGTCAGTCATCTCCTCAGGGAGATGTGTGTCTAGACAACCCTATCAGATGTAGCAGTCCCTAACCCCTTCTTTTCTGGTCTATACTCCAAGTGCTGCTTTCATGGCATTTACCACAACTTATGGGCTAATTTATTGGTTTATGGTCTCTTTCTTCTACTATAATTAATGTAAGGGGATGCAAGGGCTATACATCTTATCTGTCCTATTTTCCCTAAACTCAGTAAGTCCAAAGGTTAAAGCATGAAAAGGTGGTCTGGGAAGACTTCATGTAGGAGTGGGCATTTGGAATTTAAAACTGTTCATAACAGACTTACTTAGATTTCCCTTATTAGATGTAAATCTCAAGTAACGTACAAACAGTATAAAGGTTTAGTGGGGATTAATAGTTCTGTCTTCTGTCTCAGAGCACTGGACTGAAAAATGGCTTTGGTGCTGACTAGTTTTGACACCAGCTGGTTTTGTGGGTTTGTGCAAGTTCCTCGTTTGGTCCTTGTTTTTCTTCACCTGGAGAGGAAAGATTTGTTCAAGAGGACTTGGAAGTCATCAGATTAACTGTCAGCACTATCCCATATGGACCCTTTCAGTTCTAATTCTTTGTTCTTATATAAACTCTAAACCTGTTTCATAGGATTGAAATTAAAAAGTCTACGAAGTTGAGAATTAGCTTAGTTGTGTGATTGTTAACAAGTCATAAAAAACTAACATGATTAATAATAGATCAGAGGTTATAAGAAGGAAATAATATACTGCTATGCTAAGGCAGTGTTTGGGACACTGGGATTATGCTAGCATTATCTTGGTAGGTAAAAACTGGAAAAAGGACCATTTGACAAAGGCTATAATCCATAATAAGCCCCAGTGAACAATCATGTACCAAACTTAGCCTTGACATTAAGGAAACAAAAACTGCAAGAAATTCATACAACCTACAGAAGCTTTTATAATTAATAAAATAATTTTAAAGATTGACTGGCTTCAGTCAAAACTCATGAATGGGACAAGCACTCCATCTAGCAGGTAGAGAGAGGAGCTCCAAAGAGCTGCACAGAATAAAAGACTTTTCTAGGGAGATGGAGGCAGGAGGAAGTTATTTATAGTAGCCAAGGATTATGGCAAGGTCATCTTCCCTTAGGCAGATTATTAGGCAGACTATTTATCTAAATAACCTTTGAAATGTGTATACGAACTAAGAGGTTCTATTTAGAGTTTAATTCTGGTTTTAAAAAACACTTGGTTTTGTGACCTTCTAGTCTTTGCCACTTAATTAAAGTAAAATCAGCCATCATCTATGAAGCTAGGTAGACCTGAGACTTGTTAGCTTTTGTTCATTAATTATAACTAAATATTTACCAATTTATAGCCGGATAAATTACATGTATTATGACTTTTTTTAAGGGTTCCAAGTTTAAAGATCATATTTTTTCTTAGCATGTCTATATCTTAAGTGTTTACAAAAGTACCTCTGAATAAGTTATAGCACATGTACTTGTAGTATAGATATAGTTGGATAACATTTATGTGCTCTTAATGTTTTCCTTCTCCACAGACTCAATATTCATTTAAACAAGTATTTGGCACTCATACAACCCAGAAGGAGCTCTTTGATGTTGTGGCGAATCCCTTGGTAGATGACCTCATTCATGGCAAAAATGGTATGATTATTGGAGTTTCGTGGGGTTTTCCTTTTTGTTCTCCTTTGATAAAACTTAATTGATGTTTGCCTATTTGTTTACATCTGACTTTCAGTTCAGCTTTAATTTTTTAATTTTTCAGGGTACTGATGAATTGTGTTTTTATTTTAAGTTAAAGATTTTGTTTATTTTTGCATAGAAGAGCTGGGGTGTAGGCCAGAGGTGTGGGGGGGTGGGAGGATTCATCAGGGACAGAGTGGGGCGCAGAACAGGCTGATTGACTGAAATAACAGATGAGGGGAGCAGCAGGTGAGAAAGGAGATGTCTGTTGCAACTTGTTGGTCACTTCTCTGGCCTGGATGCAACTCTGGTTGCAGTGGTGGGCTTTCTTGGTGATGGTGCTGATACTAATAACCCTGTGGCCATATTAGGGGGGCCCTACTTGTGTTTTTAATACAGTGAAGAAATAGTACAAGTGGAAGACTAAGATGAACCCAGTGCGACTTTTTAATGTGTAACTATGTGACTTGGTGCATTGTAGGTCTTCTTTTTACATATGGTGTGACAGGAAGTGGAAAAACTCACACAATGACTGGTTCTCCAGGGGAAGGAGGGCTACTTCCTCGTTGTTTGAACATGATCTTTAACAGCATAGGTGCTTTCCAAGCTAAACGATACGTAAGTGTAATTTCTTTGTTGTGATTATTTCATTTTCAGACACAGGGCCCCAGATGCTTACAGTAATGTTGAGAAGTAAAGCACAGGATATGTTTTGAAATATTAAATGTGTTTAAAAATATGAAATATTTATTAAATGTCTTTCTCACTAAAGTTTTAAAAGTAGTGTGCTTTTTGCCCCCTCTTCAGGTTTTTAAGTCTAATGACAGGAATAGCATGGACATACAGTGTGAAGTTGATGCCTTATTAGAACGGCAGAAAAGAGAAGCCATGCCCAATCCAAAGACCCCTTCTAGCAAGTAAGGAATTGCATTTGTGTGTAGCTTGGCCTAAGGGAACCCTGCCTGTTTTCCCTGGGCCTAGGGAATGCAAACATGAAGCAGATAAGTTGTTCTGACAGTTTACTTTAGTAAAGACAAAGCTGAGGCGTGTCCATACTTTGGTTTGCTTATAGTTCTCTTTACTTTTGAGCACACTGCCCTAGAGCTACTGATTTGAGGTGTGCCTGGGTGGGAGATGGAGTAGAAGTCTATGCTGTGTGTCTGGGGGGAAATGAGAGAGCTGTTGGCTCACTCTTGAGTATTAATGAAGCTGCCTTTTACATTGCTAATTGTTGTAGTCTCTTGGTTTTTCACTTTTTTTTTTTTTTAGATTTATTTGTTTATGCGTACAGAACTGGGGTACAAGCCAGAGATGCAGGGACGGTGAGAGGATTCACCAGAGACAGAGTGGGGAGGAGAGCAGCGGGTGGATCAGGAGAGGTCTGCCGCGCCATGTGGTCACCTCTGGAGTGGGGATCAAACTCATGCTGAAGTGGCTTTAGCTTCTTAGTGCTGTGCTTTAACCTGCTGGGAGGGCCCAGTCTTTCACTTTCAATACTGACTCACAATGCCTAAGATCAGACTTTCTTTTCTTTTTTCAGACGACAAGTAGACCCAGAGTTTGCAGATATGATAAATGTACAAGAATTCTGCAGAGCAGAAGAAGTTGATGAAGATAGTGTCTATGGTGTATTTGTCTCTTATATTGAAATATATAACAATTACATATATGATTTATTGGAAGAGGTGCCATTTGATCCCATAAAACCTAAGTAAGTAAAAGAGCCTCGTAGCTGCTTGCATCTTGGGAAAGTCACTTTACCTTAGTGAGCCTTCCCTAGTGCAAAAACAAAACTTTTTGTTTTCAGAATGAAATGTTACTTGTAGATCATGTAGTTGATATTCAATGAATAGTTGAATAGTAAATAAAAGTTGAATAATAAAGTTTTATTAGAGAATCAGTGTGTTAAGATATCTTAAGAGAATCCTGAAAATTTACGTTAGTTTTTGAAAACTCTTGGTCCCGGACTGGACTGAGAAGGGCCTTCACTATAAAAGGAAGTGTCCATATGGGCATCCCCTGGGCTTACTTTTCAAGAACCCGGACACCCTCAGTGTTGGGAGTTCATAGCCTCTTTTACCACCAGCGTCTTGGTGATCTCTACAGAGTGAAGCCTAAAGCTGTTGTCTGTACAACTAATATAGACCATCCATTATTAACACAGTGACAGCTGTATTATCCTTTCACCAGTGTTAGAAGACTACTTCGATTTGAGTCTTGCCCTTCTGAGATTATAGACCAGTTACAGCCTGGTATCACAAACAATGAATCTGTATTTATGTTAGCATGAATTCTAGAATCTCCTGTCTAAAATTAGCATCTTGTTTTTGAACTAATGGCTTAGTTTTTATCTCCAAAGCTGTCTGTTTTTACCATAAATAATATGAAGACCTGTGTCTTATTTAACTAATATGTCTAAATTAACATAATTAGCTTCTTTTAGAAAACCATTACACAAAGAATAGATGTCCATATATCCTTTTATTTACATTAAAAACTTTATACCTTTCTTATCTGTTTCAGAGTTTTAGTTGTGTATACCTACTTTCCTTAATTTTTGTGACACTGCTACCAATCGGTTTCATGTCTGTGCATGTGTTGTTTCTGTTTGGGTTGTTCTAGGTTTGGGTTGTTCTAGGTGAGGTTATTTTCAAAGGAGTCTGTCTTGGTTGCATGTAGTTATACAAAAGGAAGCCTGATTTGTCTGCGTCTTGTAACTTTTCTGATAACTAATGAACTCACAAGGCGCTTTTTTGGCACTGGATACAAATTTTATTTGTTAGGGGGTCATGTAGCTTGCCTTTTTGATTAATGATTAGGGATTTTTAGTACAATGACAAAATATTAGATCTGAAGGGATATGACATGACTCACTGTGAAGTGGCCCCTGCTTACATACTGTGAGCGGCTGCTGGAAAACAGTAACTTTTCCTTATTCCTTCGCTAGGTGGAACAGTTGCAGCACACCCATGAGGAGCACAGACTTTATGTATGTGATGGTGCTGACTGTTTAGGAGAAGGGCTATGGCATTTGTGGCATGTTTGCATGTTGGTGGTTTTTCATTGGCACTGGGTAGGTGGCTACCTCTGAGCCCCTTTTTTCCGGAAAAATCGTCCATTTACTGAGTGATATTGGCTCAGATGTCTATTCCACCATTCAAAGGTTAATGTCAAACTGGCAGCAACCTTTCCCATCATACCCTACCCTACAAGCCACTTTGAAAGACTGCCACTTCTGAATGTTTTTTGTTGACATGGAGGCCAGAACCAGTTCTTGGTGATCTTTTAAAATTAGGGAAATGCTAGATTTTGATGCTAACCCTGTGCATGTGATGTTGTTCTAGTTGCTTTGATCTCTAGTTGCTTAGTGTTGTTTCCTGTGCTAAGAATAAATTAGAACAGTCTTCCAAACAAAACAGGTTCCTATCATCTTGTTCTGTAACTAATCTTATGTATTTATCCTAATAGCCTTAATCTTTTCCTGGGATCTTGCTTAGACTTATTTCTACTATAATGGTCGATGTCATGTTGCCTGGCATTTTAGTGCCAGTGTTAGGTTATTCCTAATAATTTAGGAAACTAATAATTTTTTCTTTCCCATAGAATTCCACAGTCTAAAATGCTTCGTGAAGATAAGAACCATAACATGTATGTTGCAGGATGTACAGAAGTAGAAGTGAAATCTACTGAGGAGGCTTTTGAAGTTTTCTGGAGAGGTTAGAAACAGAGCTAGAATTAGAAAAATATAAAATGATAACTATAACCCTGAATGATGCTACTATAATTTACAGTAATACTTTGGTATAGTAGAAAGCATCTATACTGAAATGATCAAGTTCAGGTTGACTGATGATTTATCTGTCATCATAGGTCAGAAAAAGAGACGCATTGCAAACACACATTTGAATCGAGAGTCCAGCCGTTCCCATAGTGTGTTCAACATTAAATTAGTACAGGCCCCCTTGGATGCAGAGGGAGACAATGTCTTACAGGTAAGAAAGTACTATATGGATTTTTTTTTGGTTTTAACTGAATCTTTACTTTTTAGAATTAGATTTCTGTCAAGGGAAATTTCATTGCAAATGAAGACTGCTCTACAATTAATATATGGACAGGTGATTCCTTTTTAAAAGTTGTTCCATTAGGGAGCAAAAACAGTGGGAGGAGGGAAATGCACTGGACTTTGTTGATGGCACATGGGTGGTTTGGTGATGGGAAGCCCAAGGGGATTACAACTGAGATGGAAAAATACACAAAGTGATGTAAAAATAAACTATTATATTATTTTAAAAATAAGTAAAAAAAATTGTTCCATTAGATGTGGTTTTGATAAACTAATCTTAGAACCTGGAATTCTGCTGTGAGAAAGGTTTACAAATCTCTCTTTAATAGAGGAACTATGAAGTAAGATTCCTTATTTTATCTCAAAGACTCATCCTGCATGAGGAAGTTAACAGTTTTAGCGGTACAAACATGAGATGGACAGTTCTAAATTGTTATTCTCTGGGCCAGGCGGCCAGTAGGGTCCCCTCCTGTGCTGATCACTGTTTATTGGTGGGCCAGTCACACCACAAAGCTGTCAGTTACTTTCTGCATTTGAGCTTGGATATTAATCATTTAGTAACTTTAAACTATTAGTGTAATTCCAAAATGTAATCATAGTATTCTGAAGGTTTCCAGATGTCATGAGGAGATGGTACAGCATGGTAAAGAAGACAGCCAGGATTTTAATTCTGATTCCTGCTAATTTACTAGCTTTTTGATATAACTGTAATAAACCCATACTATTGTGTGGATTAAAGGAGGTAATGCATGTGAAGTTTCTTAGTTCCATGCTTAGCTTATAATTAGTGTTCCATAAATGTCAGCTAGAAAATGCTTCCAAGTCAAGCCTCCATATGCTCCAAATTTCCTTTGAATCATATCTAATATTAAGGTATCAGGCACGTACCTCTTGACTCTGCAAGTATTCTGAAATTATTATATATTTAAATATCAATTATTAAAAATTTAGGGTAGACTCACTATTTAGCAGACATTATTGAGTTCTGGATGAGCGCTAGGCATATCTAAAGTGCTGGGCTGAATGGTTAAAGGCAGTGCACCTACCCTCACAGACTTAGAGTATTATGTGGACCAGATGCTGGCCAAACTGTCATTTATGTCACCAGTGTATTTTTTTCTTTCTCCTTTACTTTTTTTTTTAAATTGTTTATTTTTACATCATTTTGTGCATTTTTCCATCTCAGTTAGTTGTCCCCTTGGGCTTCCCATCACCAAATCACACATGTGCTATCCAGTGCATTTCCCTCCCCTCCAATGTTTTTGATCCCATTCCCCACTCCACCCCCATAAATTGTCTCTGGTATATAGCTGTTCATTATTATTATTATTTTCTCACCTGGTCCGTTATATTCCTGCTATTAAGTGAAACCATCCAGTATTTTTCCTTTTCTTTCTGGCTTATCTCACTAAGCATGATCTTTTCCAGCTCCACCCATGTTGCTGCAAAAGGCATGTGTTTGTGTTTTTTTTTTTTGTTGTTGCTGAGTAATATTCCATTGTGTGTATGTACAATCTTTTTAATCCAGTCATCCACTTTTGGGCATTTGGGCTGTTTCCATGTCTTTACAATTGTAAATAATGTAGCAATAAACATGGGGGTGCAGGTGTCTTTTTGAATCAGTGTTATTATGTCTTTTTCGGGTAGATACCTAGGAGTGGGATTGCTGGGTCGTAGGGAAGCTCCATGTTTAGCAGTTTGAGGAACCTCCAAACAGTCTCCCATAGTGGTTGTACTCGTTTGCATTCCCACCAGCAATGCAGGAGAGTTCCTTTTTCTCCACATCCTCGCCAACATTTGTTGTTGCTAGTTGTTTGAAGATGTGCCATTCTCACTGGGGTGAGGTGGTATCTCATTGTGGTTTTAATTTGCATCTCCCTTTTTACAAGTGATGTTGAACATTTTTTCATATACTTGTTGGCTATCTGCATTTCCTCCTTGAAGAAGTGTCTTTTTAGCTCTTCTGCCCATTTTTGGATGGGGTTGTTTATTTTTGTTGAGTTTCATCAGTTCTTTGTATATCTTTGTGATCAATCCTTTATCACTAGTGTTGTGTGAGAAAATTTTTTCCAGTCAGTGGGATGTCTGTTTGTCTTTTATAATATCTCTTTTGCTGTACAGAAGCTCTTTAACTTGATGTAGTCCCACCTATTTATCCTTGCCTTCACTATCATTACATTGGATGCTGTATCTTTAAAGATGTTGCTGAAGTCTATGTCGTGTAGTGTTTGGCCCATCTTTGCTCTCAGATATTTTATGATTTCTGTTCTTATGTCTAGGTCTTTAATCCAGTTTGAGTTGATTTTTGTGTCACCAGTGTGTTTATATGTTTCGCATACTCTTCCCTCCCAAGTAGTCTATAGATTTTTATACTGTGAAAATACTATATTCTTAAGACTTAATAGTTTATTGATTTTGAATATACTTAAAGGACTTTGGAAAAATTACTTTATAAGCATTATGATTGATCTTCCTTTCAGGAAAAAGAACAGATCACCGTAAGTCAGCTGTCCTTGGTAGATCTGGCTGGAAGTGAAAGAACTAACCGGACAAAAGCCGAGGGGAACAGATTACGGGAAGCTGGTGAGCAGAGCTTAGCACTACTTACTAAAGTTGAAACTTTAAAAACTTATAGTGCCAATTTTCCATCTGCGTATTGATTGGTAGTTCAAGTATAACCTTCAGTGTGATCATTTAGAGGCTAAGTTTAGTGGTTTGTAGTATTTCTTTAGTTAGAATACCCATTTCTATTGGGTATAATTTAGCAGTGACTAAATTATATCCAATTGAAAGTCTTTTATATATATTGCTTAGTATTATCAGGCCTACTTTCTTGAAGTTACATGATTTAATAGTTATTCCAACATTGATAGTAGTAAAATCAGTTTTTAGAGGTAGAGGAAAATCTCTGAACACAGAAGTCAATTGAAGGGAAATATCTATGGGTTGTTTTTTTTTTAACCTTTCATTTATTGTAGTCATCCAGGTTAAGTTTAATGTTAATAACATTTATTGAATACCTACCAGTGTGCCCAGGATGTAGCAATGTAATGTAAAGGATGGAGTCCTGCCTTACGAGTGCAAGAGACAGGCAGATGACTAAAGGTTTCAGTGTGTGATGAAGTGAGCACAGGGTGCTGTGAGACTAGAGGAGGGGTTTCATTGTGAAGGAAAAATGATGGCTACTACTATCAAGGGTAGTACTAGTGTGTGTTATCTACTATGAATATGCTTGATTTCTTGATTATGAATTTTCAGGTGAGGAAATGGGTTGGTAGTGGTTAAATAATTTTCTCAAAATTGAAGCCTGGGTTCAAATGCAAACTTGTGTCTTTTTACTATTATAATGTCCCCTTAAAAATCAATGAAAGATTAATCTTTTTTAGAAAGATTTTCCCACTCAGGAATTAGTTTACAAAGGGCAAGTCTAGACATAATGAAAAATAGTCAAATAAAGGAGGCTTCTGGTGGAGCAGCAATTTGATGGTGCAGTTTGTCACTTAATGTGTTTTGTGTTGGGTGTGACCTTGTCATTCAAGTGGATGTGTCCCAGAACCGGATGCAGAGGTACATGGATTTGGAAGGAGAAAGATTTGAATTGAGGTTTATGGTTTTTGCCAGCAGAGAAGTGATTGAAGTAGTGGGGGAGATGAAATTATTCATGGAACATAGAAAGGAATAGTGGAAGCAGTCTTGAACAATTAAAAAGATTAAATGCTTTTCTTCCCTTTATTGAGGTAACACTGGTTTACAACACTGTACATGACTTAGGGGAATAGGTTCATACCTCCTCAAGTACAGAATGATTAAAGAGCCCAGGAAGGAGAGGAGATAGTAGCTAGGTGACTTGATAGATTAGGAGATGACTAAAACATACACATGCATACATTATATATGTCTACAGGAGATGATAGAGGAAGGATTAACCTTGAAGGAGAAGTAGCTGGGTTGGGAACAAAAACAGTGGAAATCTAAGGGTTCTGATGCTTTGGGAGAGAAAAACCAGAAAGTGCTGTCACCATTACAATGAATAAAGGACAGATGTGATAAAAGTCAGGATGTGAGATCTAGAAAAGGAGACTGTGGCTGGGGCACATAAGGATGTAAGACCACCTAGAGGGAGTTTTGAGTGGTAAGGTTTGGGGATTGGATTGGGTGTGGTTGTGCAGCTACATGGTAAAGTGAGATCTGCTGAAGTTGAATGTGGGCTCTCTGACAGTATGTACCAGGCTCTGCAGACCCATGAAAATGAGCTAGGACTGAGCAAGTAGGGTAAGATTTGAAGGCAACAACAAGGAAATAGGAAGATGTTGCTGGGCTGTTCTCTGCTTACCATTCCTATAAAATATCATGTTTGAGAAAACAAACAACTTTTACCCAAAAAGGCCGGGGTTGGGAGGAGGCACTGTCCTCCTAGGGAGACAAAAGGTGAGACTGCAGGGCTCTGCAGCATGGTGCAGGGTGAAGCCTGTGCATACCTCTTCAGGTATTTCTGAAAGGAAAACAAAGTACATAGGGTTACAAAGAAAACTAATTAGACTGAAATACAGTTTGAAGTTTTTCTTAAAACATTTGTCATACAGTAAATGTATTGTGAAAACATTTGGTTTTGATTAAGATCATAGGTAATATTTCTTTTTTCACCTGCATTCATACATCACTGAAGGAGGTCCTGGTTTCAGAGATCAGTAAAAATAAGTAACTTTACTTGCCATCCAATCAGTCATGGAGAGTCCCTTAAACCCTTTACCCTTTATGGACCCCAGGTGAAGAACCTCTGGCCATTAGGGACAGGTGATGGGACCTTCTGTGAGAGGTGTGAGGATGCAGGATGCCCATTAACAGGCATATGGGCTCTGGAGGGCATGGCAGAAGAAAGCAAACTAGGAGCTAGATTAAGATATAAAATCGAGCATCATGGGACACCACGGGGGTGCAGATAAACCTGCAGTTGAGAAGCTGCCAAGGATGAAAATGTGTGCTTTTAGGTGACCTTAATCAAGGTTCCAAAATGAATCAATTTTTATGTACCTTTGGAGGCTATATATATAGGTTGAGATATCCTGTGTAAGCTTTAGAATGTAATGCTGCATTACACTTCATGGTGTCCTTTTGATAGACTCCCTGAAGGGTGGCATTTCACCTCTTCTGAAACATGGCTATTAAAACATTCCTAAAATGACACCAGATCATGCCTGCACAACTCTTTAAATTGAGCCCCGAGACCACGTGACTTGTGATTTCTATCTAGTGTTCTAAAAGGTAGGTTGTTTTACTGGCTGACTGGCCACACTACCTTCTGCTGTTTTCAAATACCTTTTGTATTTTTCTGCAAGGTAACATTAATCAGTCACTAATGACACTAAGAACATGTATGGAAGTCCTAAGAGAAAACCAAATGTATGGAACTAATAAGGTAAGCAACAGTCTTTGATCATTTGTCCAGTTTTGTTTGTGTGCATTTTTTTGCCTTATGGTTTTTGGATTTGAATGTATTTATAGATGGTTCCATATCGAGATTCAAAGTTAACCCATCTGTTCAAGAACTACTTTGATGGGGAAGGAAAAGTACGCATGATTGTGTGTGTGAATCCCAAGGCAGAAGATTATGAAGAAAGCTTGGTAATTTTTATTTATCCTTAGAGCTCAGATTTTTTTCTACTGAAAACTGCTATTTTAATGTGGTGAATAACATTTTGGACATTTAAGAACCTTACCAAACCATTAATTATATAAGTGAACTAATGACCAATCTTTTTATTATCTTAGCAAGTTATGAGATTTGCAGAAGTGACACAAGAAGTTGAAGTGGCAAGACCAGTAGACAAGGCAATATGTGGTCTGACACCTGGGAGAAGATACAAAAACCAGATTCGGGGAGGTCCAGTTGGAGATGGTATGAATTGGAGTTATGATGTCATGTACCCACTGACTAAGCTTGTCTTTTCTCCTTTAAACCAACTTCACCTAAGGAAATTATTTGCCTTCCCCTTAAGAATTAAAAAAAAAAAAAAAACCTTGGTTCAGAATTAAGATTTTTTTGTTACATGCCGTTACCATATTACCCCTACCTCCCTTTCTCATTTTTATGACTTTTAAAGCAATATCTGATTAATACACCTCAAAATTATTTGGATCAGGGCTTTAATCACTATACTAACCTGTTTAAAATAGGGTATTTCTCTCTTTTATATTCATCAATGAACTGCTTGCTACAGAAGTGGTTCTACAGAGTTTCCCACCATTGCCATCATGTGAAATTTTGGATATCAATGATGAGCAAACTCTTCCCAGGCTGATTGAAGCATTAGAGAAACGACATCACCTACGACAAATGATGGTCGATGAGTTTAACAAACAAGGTGAGAGACTTTTTAAATCATCATAATTTGAGACTGAGTTAATTTTGAAGTCTGTGGCTTTATTAAGTTGTCATTGGTGCATACAATCTAGCCAGTACGGAAGGCATTGGTAAAATCTGTTGTATAAAATGAAAGGCTTTCTCATAGGCAGCAAAGGGTAAGATATAAGGTAAGAGGGAATTAATTCAGGCTCAGGTAACCTACATGTGGAGAATGGGTCTTGTGACTGATGAGGTCCTTTTCCTTCATTTGGGAAGCTTACCTCATTGGTGCTCACCAGAAAATTTCACATGGACCAATATGGACTACATTCCTGGAAGAGAGTGAAAGGGTATGGGGGCTTGTAACAAGTTAGGTTAGTCATTAGCTTATTAGCACCTACGTTTCCATTTGGGGCCTGCTGTTTTCTTTTTAAATCATTTAAACACCAGAAAGTTACAGAGAATCTTGCTTTCTACAGTGGGGTAGCTTATTAAGGAATGGCGACTTTATCTTGCATTTTCACCTGCTCAAGGCATTAATTATTTAGATGGGTACAAATGTCCCCATACAGTTTCTCTTTGAAGTTGGTTGTATTTTGTCCCTGTTTACAAGTTAGTAAGTAATGGACACAAAGGAATAATACTTTGTTTTTAGTTCCTACTAGTTATATTTGCTTGCAAGGCACTTAACTAAGATTTTATATTAACTGTTTTGGGGAAAATTACTTCTTCTCTGCAGAATGGGGATTGTAATTGTTCCTACCTTAGAGTGTGTTATGAGGATGAGCTAGTGTATTTAAATCAGGTGGAAGAGTGCCTTAGTAATAGTAACTGTTCGTTATATGACTTACACCTCATCATCACTATTAATTCATTTAGTCTTCATGAGAAAGATAAGTTGTATTTGGTATAATGGGGCTCTGCTGGGATCTAATTTATACAGCACCTAGTGTTACTTCTGTTTTTGCATTTTTTTTGTTCAAAGAAATTACCTTATAGGGTCAAGAGGTTCTATAATGCAAAATGAAAAAAATTAGTGTTTTTTCAGTAATAAAGTATTTATGGAACTTCTTTTTTGTAGATTTGAAAACCAAATTTTAATTTCCTCCCAAACTTGTTAAGAGAGAGATTTGCTGCACAGCTACATCCTACATAGTACTGGCTAATGTTGATTTCATTGATTATTTTGGAATTGGAATAAATTTGGCCTGAATGCTTTTGTTTCAGCTATTACTTTTAAAGCTCTGTTGCAAGAATTTGACAATGCTGTTTTAAATAAAGAAAACTACGTTCAAGGGAAACTAAATGAAAAAGAAAAGGTGATCTCGGGACAAAAGATGGAAATAGAACGACTGGAGAAGAAAAACAAAACTTTAGAATATAAGGTTTGTTGTGCCATTAGGGTAGATCTATGTGCTAGCTTCTGACTTAGCTGTACAGCCTCTGCGTACCACAGTTCTTAGTTATTGACAAATTTCCATCCTATCCTAAGAAAGAAATGGGAGTCAAAGGCATATAAGTCTAATGTACTCTTAAGTTTGATTTTAGCAACTGAAGACAAGCTTCCAGAAGCTTGTCTAGAATTTGGTTTTGGTAACAACTTGGTTTTTGACTTGGTAACTTTCAGTATGTCCTGTCATTTAAGGGTATTGTTTACAGGGTATATATTCCTTCTAGAATCTCTTCTTGTTCACTATTTGTAAAATAGCCTTAAAAATAGTTTTATACCTTAATTTTAGGGGGAACTTAGTTTTCACATGAAATACTTGTAATTTCGTCTTGTAGTGGGGAACTTGTTTAGAAGTCTTCCCTTATTAGGAATGGAGGTAGAAATTCAGGTGAAATAGAAGAGAAAAATTACATAAGCATAATTGTGAGATTTTGTAACTACATGAAATGTTTACTTACAAAATACTGATTTAACTCCCAGATTGAGATTTTAGAGAAAACAACTACAATCTATGAAGAAGATAAACGCAATCTGCAGCAGGAACTTGAAAACCAGAATCAGAAGCTTCAGCGTCAATTTTCTGACAAACGTAGATTAGAAGCCCGATTGCAAGGCATGGTGACAGAAACAACAATGAAGTGGGAGAAAGAATGTGTGAGTGTTATCTCAGAGGTGGTATTTTAAACTGTAGTGTTCTGAGTGTCTTATTTGGGGGGAAGTTTTGGTGGCAGTAGTTACTGCTATTTAGTTGATTTTCTTTCATGACAAATTAAGTGCATTATGAAACATTTAACTCAGGAAGAATTGCAAAATTTCCTGAGTTAACTATGAGAACTTAGGAAAATAAAATGTTAGGTAATTTGATGTGTTTGACTGATACCCTCCAGGAGCGAAGAGTGGCAGCTAAACAGCTGGAGATGCAAAATAAACTCTGGGTCAAAGATGAAAAACTGAAACAACTTAAGGCTATTGTTACAGAACCCAAACCTGAAAAGCCAGAGAGACCCTCCCGGGAGCGGGATCGAGAAAGGGTTACTCAGAGATCTGTTTCTCCATCACCTGTACCTGTAAGTTATTTATCATTGTGCTGTTAATGACTGCAAGAGAAAATTTGTTCAGATTAGAAGACTTTCTGTGAGAATCAGTTTTATTTTATAGTACTGAGAGCACTGAAATGTTTCTATTTAGAAGTTTAGTATTAGTTATAACATCTTAATACAAATGTTTTTGTGATTAAAATGTAGAAAAGTAATGAATTGTTTTTCAGTCTTGCTCATTTATTTCTTTTCAATTTTTTTAGCTTTCTAGTAACTATATTGCTCAGATTTCCAACGGCCAGCAACTCATGAGCCAGCCACAGCTACATAGGCGCTCTAACTCTTGCAGCAGCATTTCTGTAGCTTCCTGTATTTCGGAATGGGAGCAGAAAATACCTCCGTACAACACACCTCTCAAAGTCACATCTATTGCAAGGCGTAGGCAGCAGGAGCCAGGACAAAGTAAAACTTGTATCGTGTCAGACAGAAGGCGGGGGATGTACTGGACTGAAGGCAGGGAGGTGGTTCCTACATTCAGAAGTGAGATAGAAATAGAAGAGGATCATTGCCACAGGGTTGGTGCCGGTATTAATTTTAAGCATTGTAGCTATAGAGTTTAATCGTGCTTGCTTGTTTGATAACTTGGTTCAGGAAGTTCAATGGAAAGATGGGTATACTCTTAACGTAAACATGGTCTAATTTTTTTGTTAATCTGAAAGATCAAACCACTTTGAAGTTGAGGCCTACCTCTTCATCTAAAAAGCCTGAATAAAATGTTTGATAATAAGTAGTGCCTCCTGGTCATGCAGTCACCTGCGTGAGCACACCGAGTCCTCCCCTGCAAAAGCCAGTGAGGTGTGCCCTAGACACAGTTCCCACTTCACTTTTCCCTTTACATTTCCTTCCCTAAAATGGATTTTTTTTCTTCTTTTGAACTATTTTAAAAATTGTTTCCCCAAATTTTAAATATCTCAATATACAGTCCTGTTTACGTTCCCCTAGTTGACCTAATAATGATCCTATTAAAAATGAATGTATTGTCATTTTAAAATCACTTTAAATATAAAAGAACCCTTTTCATGTCCCTTTGGTTTTTTTTTTTTTTTTTAAAGCATCCAGGTCACTTATAATTACCAAAGGTTTGCATGTCCAATAAATTGCTTTTAATCTCAAGACCATTATCTCAATTTACAAGGGTTCTGCCTCACACAAGGGTATGTAAAAAAATTTGTATTCCCATTTTCTTAAGGACTAATAGTTTTTATTTAAAGAACTTTTCACCTAAGCAAATTTATCTTATAGTAAATATCTACTTTAGATTTTTTGTATAATTTAGGATACAAATTTCACTAAGGTGGCCTGCATTCCTGATTACTAAGATATGGTGATTAATTATATTTTACACCAAAGCAAATTTAAAAGTTATTTGCTTTTCAGATTTTACTTTAAATCTTTTTAGGGAGCAAGTTTTGGTGACTGGTCTTTCTGATCAACTCTAATAAATCCGCTTGATTTCATGAAGTTTCTAGACTGAAAACTATTTAAGGCCCTACTTGCACCTGACCAATATTAATGTAATGCTTGATCTGGCTACAAGATACTCAAGAGGATTTACTAGAGATCCTTTCAATTTCTCACTTGAAATCAGAATCTCTTTAGAAGTGCAGCAGAAACGTTTAGGCTTAGTTATCTGTTTCTTTCAGATCTGCTAGTCAAAAATGTCAGGTGGATTGAATAATTTATAACTCAGGGAGGAGGAAATCTTACATAATTTACTTTATAAACTATAGTAGTTTGTAAGGGCACATTTATAAATTATTTACTGTTTAGTGTTGCTCAAGAAATCAATAATTTTTGCTAAATGGTCCACAAAAGCCAGATTTTCATCAGCATTAAGTCAATCACTGGGAGAATGGAAAGTTTCCGGCTTACTGTGAGGCTCAGGGATTCTTACGGCAAACTATTTTGCCCATATTTTGTGAAGTCATGAGTTGTCACTAGTGTTTGTTTCTCATAATTATCTAAGGAAACTCTTTGCTTCTCCAGATTTTGGCATTTTGAAATTGGGATAGTCATACTTGATCAACTTTGAAGTTTGACCTATGATAGACTTTTATTTGCTGTTTTACAAATGGGAGATGTTTCCAAATTTCAAACATAACTCATTGCTTCAAAAATCTTGCCTATGTCTATATGTAAAATATTTTTTCCCCAAATTTACATGATACTTGACTGGAAACAACTAATTTTTATTTGAGACAACTTTCTTTTTTGGTTCTTAGAACTTTATGAGATGTGTGGGGCAAAGTTGTTGCTATATTTTAGCAACTATGTATTGTTGACTTCATTAAACACTGTTTTGAGATTTTATAATCTTACATGAAAGGTATTTAGAAGTATTTCTTATTAAACCATATGCTCCTTAGTTTTTTGTATTAAGTAGTTATTTCAGCTTCTTAAGTTTTTAAATTTTTGTATAAGGAATGATCTTTGTTTAGTGCTCTGGTTATTGATCTTATTAACGCTTTTGACAGTTGTAAATTTAGCAGATCACTTCACAATAGTAGGTACTGTTAAGGGGTTTGATGGAGAATGCAAAGTGAATTATTTATGCTAGGAAGGCTACTAGCAGCACCATCAGAATTTTTCCTTTCATTCTTTGTTGAAGGGAAGATTCCTGGTAGAGCACATATTATGCAAGCTGGTGCTAAAAGATGTTTGTTGGTTTTGTGTTTAAAGACAAAACATTTAAATTACTCAACTTATTTGGCTTTGCAATGGTTTGTGTTTGTTTTGATATTTTCATAAATTAACATAGCCACAAACCTGCTGCACTTCTAATAATAATCTTAAATTAATTTTGGGTTCTGCTTGTTTCTTGATTCCTCTTTCAACCTGATCAGAATGCACCACCAATTCGTCTCCGACACAGACGATCACGCTCTGCGGGAGACAGATGGGTAGATCATAAGCCTGCCTCTAACGTGCAAACTGAAACAGTCATGCAGCCACATGTCCCTCATGCCATCACAGTATCTGTTGCAAATGAAAAGGCACTAGCTAAGTGTGAGAAGTACATGCTGACCCACCAGGAACTAGCCTCCGATGGGGAGATTGAAACTAAACTAATTAAGGTAAAAACAAATTTACACAGGAAAAAATATTTTCCTATTACTTTGACATACAGGCACTGTCAACTGGAACATAAATGAGTATCTGATATAACCTTTTTTGTTTGCTAGAAAACTAAAGCAACTGCTAGGTTCTGAAACAGGGACTAAATCACTTTCTACTGAATGAGGCTTAGATTTTCAGGTTAGAGGAACTCTAGATCTAGTATGTGCTGTTAATTTATATTTAATTTAACCACTGCTTAAACAATAGACCTAAACATAGAATTCCTACCTTTGATGTCTATCAGTTCAAGATAAAAATTTGACATCAAAATATTTAGAGCTCCAGGTAACTCACAACTGTCTGTAGAATCTCCTTATGGTCAGAATCAATGAGCCGGAAGGGACAGAACCTCAGGACTGGGTAAAAAATAGTGTTTCATTTCAATTTAAAGGGTGGTTGTTATAACTGTAGTGGTAAGACTGTAATACCACTTGAATGGGAAGGGGACTGGTATACCCAGAGAAGCATAATGCCTTAAGGCATTTCAAAATTTCCAGATCAGTAACAATTAAACCTTTTGCTCAACCTATTTTTTTTACTATATTGAACTTTTGTTAGTGAAAGATACAGTCACATCCACATTTCTAAAATATTTTAACAGTATACCCAGTAGTCACAAGCACCATCTGGTTTTATGTTGTTTCTATAAAATAGTGGAGTCTAAGTTCAAGTTGAAATGTGTTTAATATTTGGATGTATCAAAGTGTAACCATGACTTTTCTCTTGGCTTTAGGGTGATGTTTATAAAACAAGGGGTGGTGGACAATCTGTTCAGTTTACTGATATTGAGACTTTAAAACAAGAATCACCAACAGGGTGAGTAATCATCAAATGGATCTCTTTAGTGGGCTGTCATTTTTTAGCTGCTCATTTGAGAAATATCTGAGTGTAGATATGGTATTTCCTTTTCTCAGATGTAAAAATAATTGTTCTTTTATTTCTGTAGTCGAAAACGAAGATCTTCCACAGCAGCACCTGCCCAACCAGATGGTACAGAATCTGAATGGACTGATGTAGAAACAAGGGTAGGGTTTGTAAAAAGTAAATCTTTTTCTGATTAAAAAAAGAGGGTAGTATGTTTAAAGCCTACTAATAGCTGAGGTCTGATAACAACTTTTAGTTCAAAGCCTGTTTTCAGTGTAGAGGGACAACACCCAAGAATATCACCCTAGAACAAGTTTGTAAATGATGGGAATCTTTTCAGAACAGAATTTCTTTGTAGAACTGTTATTCCTGAGAAGTTGCAGAGATGAGGGTTAGGAGGCTAAGCTCTGGCCACTGAATTCCTCAGTTCCCTCTATGTTTTGTGGCTTACCATGAATTAAATTGCACAACATAACATAGTATAACATAGGTGTCTGCAGAATTAGAAACAATGGTTGGACTGACCTTTCCCTCTTCTGTGATTTTTCCATCAGTGTTCTGTGGCTGTGGAGATGAGAGCGGGCTCCCAGCTGGGACCTGGTTATCAGCATCATGCACAACCCAAGTAAGTCCCAACTAACTGATGTGTTTTTTTCCCCCTGGTCCTACCATTTTTGTGGTAAGAGGAAATACATGGTTTTTGTTTACCTCAGAACCCAGGGGGCTTAATAAGAGCATTTAGAGCAACAAGAATAGCAGGTGATAAAGATTGCTCACTCCTGTTTATGTTCTGCCAATACTCAGAGCTTTCAGAGGCTGAACTGCGACCTTAATCTCTCCGTCTTTCCCGGGATCATAGCTCTTTGTGTTTTCTTTTCTTTTTTAAAGATTTATTTATTCATACAGAACTGGGGTACAGTACAGGCCAGAGGCTCAGGGGCGGCAAGAGGCTTTACCAGAGACAGAGAGGGGAGCAGTGGTTGAGTCAGGAGAGGTCTGCCACGCCATGTGGTCACCTCTGGGGCAGGCGGGCATTGAACTCATGCGGAAGTGGCTTCAGCTTCTCAGTGCTGTGCTTTAACCCGCTGCGCCACCAGGGAGGGCTGCTCTTTGTTGTTTTCTTAACTATGCCATTTCTCCCCACATTAGTTAAGACCTCTTCAAATAACAAACCTATGTGCCATTTTTAATACATGTATTCTTAGACAATTTGGAAAATCGTAACAGGATAAAGATTTTTTAAAACTTAATACTAGGATAACCACTTTATAACAGTTATTTTCAGGTATTGAACTTTTCCCATGTTAGCATGCTATAATGTGTCATCGCTTGCCAAATTAAACACTAAATGCTGGTTTTCATGTTTTAGGCGTAAGAAACCATGAGCTGACGGTCTCAGTGCAGTGATGAAAGACTATTTGTGTTGCCAACTTCTCCAAAGTCATGTCAGAACTCTTCAAGCTTCATTGATTATCACAGACCTCAGATATATCATACACTGGCTAGACTAAGATTTTCCTATGGTTCCAAAGACATCTAGGATTCAACAAAATTTTTATATATCTTGCCTTATTTAATATTAATAGAGGGGCCGCTTTTATTGCTATATGAACTTTTTTTTAAATGCCTTTAAGTATATATACATTTCTTACAGACTAATTTGTGCAACTGTTCATCTTGGCTGATTAAGGAAGAATATATCTAGATCATGCTTTTTTATTATGACTTGTCTGTATATTTCTTCAGGTTTTATAAAGAAAACAAATGCTGCTATTGATTAGCTGCAAGAATGCACTTTAGACATACTTCACAGTTCAAACTTCCAAATAAAGATGCCAGTGACTGGCCAATAATAAAACCATTTTAGGAAGTTTTATGTGTATATATACTCACCTTCTGACCATTAGCTATGACAAAAGTATTGAAATAAAAAGGACTAAAAAACACAAACTTGTATGAGACTCATTTAACATTCTGACATTCTTTTAGCACCTAGCACTTGCCTCACAAGTTAGCTAATATTCATTTAAATGAAAGTAGGAGAGACTTTCTCACTGTGGGGCTGCTTGTTTTAGGGTACAAGAACAGCTTTAAATGAGAGAAATTTCCTATGCCAAGAACTAGGAATCTTCTCAAAGTGACCTGCTGAACACTACAGCCTATGGACAATTCATATACAGACTGTTTGCCTTGGAATTTCCTTTTATACTTAAGGATTCAGGAGCAGCATTTGGCCGTCATTCCTTTTTCTCTCTCCCCTTATTGGTCACTCACAGCCAAATAAAAGTGCCTTTCTACACAGCAGAACATCCGGACTTTTACTCATCTGTGCTAAAAGAATGTAAGTCGATAGGATGCTGGAGGGGGCTACAGATCCAAAGGCCCACTTGCCTTCACTGGGGTGAGAAGTGAAATAAAGTGCAAAACCACTGATGTAAAACTTGTGAGGCCTGACAGGAGAAGCAGGCAAGATATCCAAGTTGGAGACAGGAGGACCACATCTCAAGGAGTCAGCCGGCAACACTGGGAAGGCCACTGGTGACAACAGAGACAACTCAGGTGTTGGAAAGCAACTCAGGTGTTGGAAAGCAAAGCTGGTAAGGACTAAACACTGGGTGTCTCAGGTCACAGTTGAAAAGACCTGCTTCTCTCTAGCAGCACTAGCTGTTGAGGAAGAAGAAAAGAGGCAGACAAAAATAACAGAAAATTGAACAGAAATTCCCTGCTGCCAGCCTCTGAATTTCAGCAAGAGGACTGTCTGTGGTCCTCAAAAGTACCACACAAGGATCCCCATACTGAACAATGGCCCAGGTGGTAAGGCAAACTTGCCTCCCAGTCTGCTGTCAGCTTTCTTCATGCTTTCCCGAGTACATCACAGTAAAGAAACAAAAATTTGCCTTTTAGCGCCACCTGCAGGAAGACAGAACTGGTTTCTAACAGCAGTCTATCTGAACAGGAACAGTTAAGTAAGCAACAGAGGCAGATGTGTCAGAGATTGAAAAACCATGGTAACATGGCATCCTAAATTCTCCTGCAATGTAATTAAAAGGCACAGGAGGCTGCTATGGAACTGATAGGAAGTTAAAAAGCAAACTAAAATAAAATTTGTGACTTTGTTTTTATAGAAATAAGCTACAAAGTCGAAAAGTAATTCAGTGGAGCCTCCCTGGTGTCCTTGGGGTTAAGTCTCAGTGCTACCCACTGTGGAAGGACCAATTGCAACAGCCTGAATATTACAGTAGATCTGCCTGGTTTGCTCCCCGCTTTTGTTTCTGGTGAACCCTTTCAGCCCCACCTGTGCATGCACCTCTGGCCTGCACCTCAGTTCTACACAAATATAAAGTCTTTAAAAAAAAAAAAAGCAATTCAGTGAACTAGAATACAATTACTAAACCAAAGGGGTTCTATACCAAAGAGATTGAAATTTTACCAAAGTACCCCAAAAATTCAGGAGCTAAGGAATTTGTTGAATGAGATGAAAACTGCATTGGAGAGAGTTTAATTTTAAAATAGGGTAAATCAAACTGAAGAAAAATGCCTTGGAAGGTAGGAATTCAGAAACTACTCAGGAGAGGGCCATGGCTAAATTAGTGATAAAAATATATGGAATATATCAAATATAAGAAAAACATAAGAATATTTGGCCTACCAAGTAGTGAGCAGAAAGGCATAAAAAATGTATTTAGAGAAATATCTGACAATATATTTGCATCCCAAATATGGGAAAGAAATTGGACAAGAAGCTAATAGGATGTATTTGTTCCATTACAAAAAGACTATTTCCAAGATACATGATCTTAGGGGAATCAAAAAGAAAACCCCAAAGTAAGTAAACAGAAAATGAGAAAGGAATCCAAGCATATCATTAAATAAACCACTAAGGTGGTAAAAAGACAGGAATAATGGAGGAGACGCAAACCACCCATTAATGTAATGTAAACTGACAAAAGAAATGGAGTGGATGAATGGATTTACCAAAAAAAAAAAAAAAAAAAGACCCATCTAAAGGTGTTAAAAGACGAAAGGACCCAGATTGAAAGTGAAGGGATAGAAAAATATAGCATGTGAACAGGAACCAAGAGAAAGCTGGGGCTCCTATATTGTATCAAACAAAACATCCCTTAAAAACATGAGGCCCTCCCTGGTGGCACAGCGGGTAAAGCACTACACTAAGAAGCTAAAGCCACTTCCGCATGAGTTCGATCCCCGCCTGCCCCGGAGGTGACCACATGGCGTGGCAGACCTCTCCTGACCCACTCCCTGCTCCCCTCAGCAGTGTACTTCGTAGATCTGCCTGCTCTGCTCCCCACTGTTATTGATAAAGGAATCGCTCCAACAAGAGGATGGAACATCTGTAAATAAGTACCCAACACAAGTACTAACAGATCTAAAGGCAGAAGTAAGACAGGGATACCATAATGGTAGGATCCCTCTCTACCCTTACAGTCATGGACAAATCATACAAAATCATTTAAGGAAAGAGTGGCCTTCAAAATATCAGAATATTCACTCACAATATACAGAATATTCAACGGACAACCAAAATATACAGAATATTCACTCAAAAGCAACTGAATGTACACGTTCACAAATGGACATCAGCAGTCTCTGAAGAATCACTTTGTAGGCCACAAAACAAGTCTTAATAAATTCAAAAAACCTGAAATCATATGAAACATCTTTTTTTGACCACAATGGTATAAGACTAGAAATCAATTACAAGGAAAAAACATGGAAAATTCACAAATATGACAGGATTAAACATGTTACTTAGCTATTTAGTAACCAATGGGCCAATGAAGAAATCCATTAAATTAAAAAAACAAGAAATGGGTGAAAACAGATATGCACCATGCTGAAATTTAGACACAGAAAAGGCAGCTGTAAAGAGAAACTTCATAACAATAACGCCTAACAAGAAAATTTCAAGTATACAACCAAAATTTATACCTAAGAGAAGTAAAAAATAACAAAATGTTGAAATTAGAAAAATGACAGAAATACAATAATAAGAGAACTAGAAATTAGAAGGGTCACAGAAAAGAACAATGAAACCAAGTTTTGGTTCTTTTTCTTTTTTTAAAGATTTATTTATTTGTACATACAGAACTGGGGTACAGGACAGAGGCTCAGGGGCAATGAGAGGCTTCACCAGAGACAGAGTGGGGAACAGAACAGGCAGATTGACGAAGTACACTGCTGAGGGGAGCAGCGGGTGGGTCAGGAGAGGTCTGCCACGCCATGTGGTCACCTTCGGGGCAGGCGGAATTGAACTCATGAGGAAGCGGCTTTAGATTCTCAGTGCAGTGCTTTAACCCGCTGCGCCACCAGGGAGGGCCCCCAAGTTTTGGTTCTTAAAACAAAACAATTGATAAACATTTAGCTAGACTTAACTAAAGTTTTTGCAAATCATATATCACAGGAGAGCTTTATACCCAGGATATATAAAGAACTCACAATTTAATAGCAAAAAGCAAAAGTGCTGATTAAAAGAGGGTCTCTTTTCCCAAAGACATACAAATGGTCAACAGGTATTTGAGATGATGCTCAATATCACTGATCATCAGAGAAATGCAAACAAATTAGATCACTATGAACTGTTACAAGGGTCATTATCAAAAAAGACAAGTTAACACATCCTAGTAAAGATACAGAGAATAGGGAATCCTTGTACACTGTTGGCAATGCAAATTGATGCAGCCCTAGTGTAAAACAGTTTTGAGATTCTCAAGAAAATAAAAAAGGGGCTTCTCTTCAGGTGCAGGAGTTAGAGCACAGCACTCTGACACTATTTGCAGCGACTGCACGGTGAGTTTGATCCCCAGCCAGGGAGGAGACCCACATGGCACAGCAGACCTCTTCTGTCTGGTCCACTGCTCCCCTCAGAGTGTATTTCAATAGATCTGCCTGTTCTATACCCCGCTCTGTCTCTGGTGAATCTTCTCACTCCCTGCACTTCTGGCCTAAACTCCAGTTTTTGAAGGTATAAGTATATAAATCTTTAAAAAATAAAATAAAGGAAAATTTTTTTTAAAGTTTATTTATGCATACAGAATTGGGGTATAGACCAGAGATGCAGGAAGTGAGAAGATTCATTAAAGACAGAGTAGAGAGCAGAACAGGTAGAATGACGAAATACATGCTGAGGGGAGCAGCCAGTGGGACAAGGAGAGGTCTGCTGTGCCATGTGGGTCAGCTCCCTGGCCAGGAATTGAATTCATGCTGAAGTGGCTTTGGCTAGCTTCATAGTACTGCACTTTAACCTGCTATAATACCAGGGAAAGCCCCCCAACCCCAAAAAAAAAAAAAAAAAATAAGTGGGAAATTCTTTATGATCCAGCAATACAATTAGAGATTTATTAATTGCTTTATCCATGCCTATGCACATACCACTGTCCACTGTGTACAAATGCCAGGTTACAGAACCAATCCAAGGGCCCTTCAACAGATGGGTAAAGATACACTCAGTGGAATACTATAGGTGTGAAAAAAGAAGAAAGAGTGATATAAAGGACAAAATAGATGGGCCTCAAGGTGATCATGTTAAGTGAAATAAGTAAAAAAGTGAAAGATTTTAGATGGTTTCAATCATCTGTGGAATACAAATACAACCCAAAAACATATATAGGCAAAATATAATAAGTATAAATCTGGAATTCAGTGAAAATATGTAATGGTGACCAGAGGGAGTGGGGAGAGTTAGAAAGTGGGGGAAGTTTGCAAATGAGGAGTGGCATGGTTTGTTTGGTGGAGGCTGAGTATAACGTGTCATATAAAGAGCAAAAATTGTAACAAACAATTAAAATAAAAATTTTAAAAAACCAGGACCAGGCAGCTTTACTGGCACATTCTTTCAAACATACCAACTCTCAAACTCTTTCAAAAAAGTATGGAAGCAATACTTCCAAACTCATTTTACAAGGCCACTGGTTACCCTGACACCAGTAAGATAATTACAACACAAGAAAACTATTGATCAATATCCCCAATGATACAGATGCAAAAATTTTCAAAAGGTTATTAGGAAATCAAACTTAAAAACAAATGTTAAGGATTTCTAACTGAATGGGATTGCTCCCTGAGATGCTAAGTTGGTTCAAGATATTCAAATCAATAAATGCAATATATCACACATTAAGACAACCAAAGATCAAAGATCAAAATAGCACAATCATCTTAAAAGATATATAAAAAGAACATTTGATAAAATATAACATCCCTTCATTATAAAAACCCTTGGCAGATTAAATATAGAAGGAACATACTTCAACATAAGATATGACAAAGGTCATATATAACATACCAACAATAAGCATACTCAAGGAAGAAAGCTAAAAACTTTTCCTGTAAGATCAGGAACAAGACAAGAATGCATTCTCGCCATCCTTATTCACTATAGTACTTGAAGTCCTAGTTCGAGTGATAAAAACAATGAGCAAAGAAGTAAAACCATTGTTATTTATATGTAGAAACCCCCAAAAATTCAACCGAAACTCATTAATGATTTCTCTAAAGCTGCAGGACACAGAAGCAACATGCAGAAATTGGCTGCATTTCTATAAAGAATGAAACATCTGGAAAAGAAAGAAAATACCCCATTCACAATAGTATCAAAAACAATAAGACATTTTGGAATAAAGAGAATCAAAGATCTACCTATACAATGCAAACTACAATATTTATTAAAAGAAATTGAAGAAGATACAAACAAAGGAAAAAATATCCCCAGTTCATGAACTGGAAGAATTAACATTGCTAAATGTTCACACAACTCAAAGCTATGTAAAGATTCAAAGCAATACGAACCAAAATACTGGCATTCTTCACAGAATTAGAATAACCTACCCTAAAATTTGTATGGAACCACAAAGACCCTGAATAGCCAAAGCAATCCCTGGGGGTGTGGGTGGGAGAGGAGGGACACCCAAAACATAAGTTTTATATTTTTATACTTTCTGATTTAAAACTATCTTACAAAGCTACAGTAATAAAAATAGTATGTAGAACTAAAATACACACAGACCAGTAGAACAAAAATGAAGAGAACGGAATTAAAGCACTGCTTAAACTGTTAAATAAAGAATAGCCTCTTCAACAAGTGATGCTGGGAAAACTGGATAAGTATGCACAGAGCAATGCCACTATTTTATACCACTCACACAAATTATAGCTCAAACACTTTTTAAACATAAGGTCAAATACTATAAAACTCCTAGACGAAAACAGGGAAGAAGCTCCTTGACACTGATCTTGGCAATAATTCTTTGGATATGATACCAAAAGCACACACATAATAAAAGCTAAAATCAATAAAAACTTTTACAAAGCAAAAACAAACAAACAAACAAACAAAGCAACAAAATGAACAGGCAACCCACTGAATGGGAGAAAATTTTTCTAAATTATATATTAGATAAGGGGTTAATACCCAAAGGATTCATATAACAACCAAAAAAAAAAAAAAAAAGTCCAATTTCAAAATGGGTGTAACTAAACGATTTCAAAGAAGTCAACCAAATGGCCAAAAGGTACATTACCAGTCATCATCAGGGAAATGCAAATCAAAACAACTACATATCACACCTGTCCAAATGGCTATTATCAAAAGAATGAGATAAGTGTTGCTAAGGATGTGGAGAAAATGGGACACTGCACTGCTGATAGAGTAAGCTAGTACAACACTATAGAAAACAGAATGAAGAGCTCTCCAATTGAAAATAGGACTTCTATCAGCAATTCTTTTGGGTGGTTATCCCACTAACTTGACATCTGCATCCCATCTTTACTGCAGCATTATTCGCAATAATAAAGTTATGAAAATCACCTGTCTACTGAGAAAATGTGAAACACACATACAATGGAGATTATACATTCATGAACAGTCAATGTCATTTATAACAGCAAGAATGCACTCTGCACACTTTATATTAAGTGAACTAAGTCAGAAAGACAAGTACTGTATGTTCTCACTATGTGGAATTTTAAAAAGCTAAGGATGTAAAAACAAAATGAAATGGTGGTTACCAGGGGATGCAGGTTGGGAGAAAGGACAGATGCTGTTTAGGGGTATAAACTTAAAATGAGTAGTAGAGATTTGCATAGTACAGTGAATATAGATGACAATATTATAAACATCAAACTTGGTACGAGACCAGAATTTAATTTTTCTGATTAATAAAACAAAGGATAATTAGGAAATATGACAGTTGCTAATTATCACCTACAGTAGCTATCATAGTACAATACATAAATGTATTAACATATTGTGCACCTTATATCTACACAGTGTCAAGTATATTTATGTAAAAATATTGAAAGAAGAATTTTGCAATTGTTAAAAAGAGCATTAGAAAATATTAATTTGACATTATGGCCTTTTTATGTTTAACTGCCATACAAATATATGTATTAAGCATGATCTTTAATACATTTAGACATAAAAACATGGTTTAGGGACAACACAAATTAGGAAAATTATTATTTAATGTATTATTATATTCTATGTAGGCAAACATACTTTCTTGTGTTTAAATGAGGACTTCTTTTGAAGCTCATTTTTTCTTTTACTACAAAGATAGCTAATCCAATTTTTTGCTAATAATGAAGGTAAATTAGTTTTGGTCAAAAGCAAATTGAAAGTTAAGAAAAAAACAAACCCACTTGTCACTAACAATATACTAGAACAATGTCACAGGAGTATTTCTAGAACACATTACAGCACTAAAAGACATTGCTTAATCTTTTGGAAATACATCTTAAGAGGAAATTTTTACTATGATAGGGATATGGGAGGTAGGAAAAAGTGTGAAGTAACAGTATGCTGAACCAACTAAATAACTATACAAAATAAGGGAAATTCATGAATAATCGGTGTTTTGCTGAAATCATTCTCTTAAGTAGTTATAAAGAATAGCTGTGGTTAATTGGGTGCTCTGTGATTTGGAAAGGTGTCTTTAATTACTGATAATGAAAGCTAATGACTTGGCTCAAGTACCCCCGGAATCACCAATGTTGGACACACTTAAGTCCAATTCTGAAATCACAGCTTTTCAATATTCTAATGATTGTCCCATCTTTATAGTTTGACTAAAACTGGCTTCACCTTGATCTTAGTTATAAGTTCTAATGTTTTGTAAAACAGAAGGAGTTGTTAAATCTTTCTTACTGATTAATAGTATTTTGAATACTTTGCGCCTTATCTCTTTTTCCAGTGTAATGCTATTTTTCACTTTAGTTATGGTGTTTTTTTTTTGAAGTAAAAATTTTAGGAGTTTTAGATTTCTAGAAAAATTGTCAGGACATATAGAATTCCCTCTACATTAATAGTTTCTTCTGTTATTTTTACATTAGTATTTTTGTTGACATTTTATTTGCCAGATTTGTTTTTTGGTACTACACTGGCTGAGGAGCTGTGCTTTGGATTGATTCAGACTGGTACTGGAAAGTGTTGAATTTTTCAATTTTTTTTCCCCATCTAATTCCACTATAATTGTGTCCCGGAGTTAGATGAAAATTCAATAGCTTTATTTATTTATTTATTTAATTGATTTAAGTTTGGTAGTTTGTTTTCTCAAAGCCTGGGACATTAATATTTGCACTGGTGCCGAATACGGATTTAAATTTGGGAATTCCAACAGAACGTTTGGCCAGAGATGACTATGAGCAAAACGAACTGACTGAGTAATACAGGTTCCCGAAGAGAAAAAAGAAACAAAACTGAACCACCACATTCCCAGGAAAACAGGTAAATCCTAAGGAGAAAATCGTATATGAAATGTAAAAATTCATTTCTGATGACAGGAAACTGAGCTTCAGATCATGCAATAAATGATGCAAGTTGTAAAGAATTCGAACGAGCAAAAATAAAGGAGGTGACAAAATTCACTCGTTATCTCCAGACTCAACCCACACACAAGCAGGAGACACTGAAGTTAGGCTTTGGGACGCGAAATCCACACGCTAGGGGAACTGTAGCCGTGGGGCTAGGTACTCTGCCCGCAGCTTGGTTTTGCCATCAGCAAAAAGGAGATAACGGCACTTACCTCCTCAGCAGTGCGAGCGTCAGGGAGTCCCGTGGCGTGAGGCTCCGCGCCGGACGCAGCGGGCGCCGGGACACCTCAGTCACCGCCGCGCGGCTGGTTTCTCACCTCCCTGCCCGCCGCTGGGGGCTGGCGACTTCACTGAGCGACTGTCTAGGGTGACGCTCGCAGCAGTAGAGGGGGTGACGCCCAATTAACTAGGCATCGTTTCCCTGAACGTATCTTCATGGTTGACTAAGCCCGAGTGTGACTCACGTCCAGGCGGTTGCTAGCTAGACTGCGGTGCCTAGCAACTTTCTGAACGCGCAAGCTAACTCCTTGTGTGTTGTGCGCAGGCGCTTCCCGTGGGCCCTTGCGGGCGGCTTTCGCTCCGCCTCTTCCGCTAGACGCGGGCGCCGATTGGTCAACGTGTTCTTTATAAAGAGGGGAGCAGCGCGCGGCTTTCTTTCCTCAGCTGTCGCTAAGGTGCTCGGTTCTTCCGAGGGAGCTAAGGCCGCGTTGGGGTGAGACCTTCACTTCATCCGGCGACTAGCACCGCGCCCGGCAGCGTCTGTCCAGTACTTGTCAGCAGCATGGCTTCAGTTTCGGAACTCGCCTGCATCTACTCGGCCCTCATCTTGCATGACGATGAGGTGACGGTCACGGTGAGTGGGGCCGCCGGCCGGGGCCGGGGTCGGGGTCGGGGTCTGGGGCGGGGGCGGCATGCAGGCGGCGGGGTGTCTGCCCGCCGAGCCGTCGCGGGGCCAATCTTTCCGGCTGTGGTGGCGGCGGCGGCGGCTTCCGGAAGGGCGTCCGGGGGTGGGCTCAAGCGCGGGACTGTCGGAGGAAGCCTCGGCCACGTGCGGCCTGCGTTGCGCGATTTCGCCCCCGAATTGGCAAACTTTTATTTTGAAAAACGTAAACATCGCTTGGGCGTCCGAAGTCACCCCAAACTGTTTCCCAGGGGCTTGGATCCTACTTTTGAGTGTCGGCTTTGAACTTTTCACGCGTAGGCCTGGTCGGAGCCGGGCGGCGTGGTGTGGAGGGCACAGTGAGCTGGGCTCCACCTCCCGCCTTGACTCAGGGCCGAAAATAGCTGCTGGATTTGGGCAGGTTCAGCCCTTGCAGGCCGTTTGGCACACGGTAGAGGAGCGATTGCGATCTTTTTTTTTTTTTTTTTTGTTCGTGACAATAAAACGTTCTAAGCAAGCAAAGTACAGACATGAGTTTTGAAATGAACACTCTCGTACTCTCGTACGCAGGTGTTGATTTGTTTTACAGTATTTTGGAGAGATTTATGGAAGTTATACTTTGTTCTCTGATGGTTTGGTATTTATTTTTAGGAGGATAAGATCAATGCTCTCATTAAAGCAGCGGGTGTAAATGTTGAACCTTTCTGGCCGGGCTTGTTTGCAAAGGTAAGGTGTTAGTAAGATAATTAGAAGTAGTACATTTAGGGAGTCGGGTACTAGTGCTGACTTCCAGGAAGTGTGGGAATGACCCATATTCTGGACCACCTTTAAGTTAAGGTGTTATTTTCTCACATTTCTAAACTTAGGCACTATAAATTTTAAATTTGTCTCTTAATCTCAGCGTCTGGTTTCTCCTCTTCTGCAATCATGGTAAATGAAGCAATGTAAAGCAGGTGTCTTCTTTTAAAAAACGTGACCCAAGAGTTAATATCTGAGCTATTCCAAGCATATCCTTCCAGTGTGATGGCCTGGTTTAATGGAAATTAAGTGTGGTGGCATTTATCATTTACTGCGTGGGGATTAAAAAGGGCTGGTTGCTACCAGAGGGGCTGGGCACTGGCTGACTCCATTGCACAAGTAAGTGGAGATAATGATGGCCTCTGACTATCTAGTATCCTCCAAAGAACTTTCAAAGATTCAAGACATTGTACCTACATCATCTTGAATAAATTACCTAGGACAAAGTCCTAGAATTACTTACCCTTTGGAACTTGAATTCACTGTTAGAGGCAACATGAAATTGCTGGAAGAATCCCGGTTTGACAAGTGAAGCCAGCACTTGAGACTAATACCCCATTGCTGTATTTCACTGCTTAATGTAGGGGGTGCATGTAAGGTGTAAAGCCCAGAGTAAATTTTTGTGACTCTTAAAACAGCTGTGTGGGCTGCCCTATATGTAATTTAAGCCTTCAGGGTGGCAGATTCTAGGAAAGGAGAAAAGAGAAACATGTACAGTGTTGGGAGTCAATCACTAGTTCAAAAGGAGAGATGTCTTCTGGATACTAAGTGAAAGGTTAGACTGAGTGTTAATTTTACCTGTGTGTGCACATGGTTTGCAGGCCCTGGCTAATGTCAACATTGGAAGCCTCATCTGCAATGTAGGGGCTGGTGGACCTGCCCCTGCAGCAGGTGCTGCACCTGCAGGTGGTCCTGCTCCTTCCACTGCTGCTGCTCCAGGTAGGAAACCTTTGGAGGGACGAGCATGAAGAGTAAAAAGGATTGCAGGCGAGGTTGCTCTTGATTTGCCAGGCGTGATGTGAATAAATCCTAAAAACAACTAGTTTGGATGGGTGGAAGGCAAAGATAGTTCTGATAAAACACAAGTTGAAGACCTGGGGCTATTTGGAATTGAAATATTGATGTGTGATTGATAAATTTTTCTTTCTTTCTTTTAAAGCTGAGGAGAAGAAAGTAGAGGCAAAGAAAGAAGAATCTGAGGAGTCTGATGATGACATGGGTTTTGGTCTTTTTGACTAACCAGTCTTTTGTGACACATTCAATAAAAAGTTGAACTTGGTTCTTTGTTGGGTACTTTGGGGGGGGGTAGTGCTTTTTTTAAAGAATTATTTGTGCGTACAGAACTGGGTTCCAGGCAGGCAGAACAGGCAGATTGACAAAGGCCACTGCTGAGGGGAGCAGCGGGCAAGACAGGAGAGGTCTGCTGCACCATGTAGGTCACTCCCGCTGGCTGGGTGGGGATAAACTTTTGCTGAATCGGTGGTGGCCAGCTTCTGGCCAGTTTCCTGGTGGCGCACTTTAATCTATTGCACCACCAGGAAGGGCCCTTATGTAATTTATGATTAGGCTTATTTCCCTAGATGTGATGGAAGGGGTAAGGTTGGAGTTGTGGTCTAGACTTGAGATTTAAAAAGCCCTTTGGGTAATTAGTCCTAAGTATAGCCCTGGCTAAAAATTGAGCTGTGCTGAGACATCTAAGACATGAATCTGTGGGGTTGGTTAGAGTGAAGAATTCAGGTTAAGGGTAACTTTCAGCTATACAGGTGGGTGGAACTAAAAATGAAGCTTGTGTTTGAAATCCAAGAATTTTTTTTTTTCTTTTTTGGTGGGGAAGAGGTAGGTAGAGGTATATCACATCAATTTGTTTTAAAGGGCATGTGGTAGAAATTGGCCCACTTTTCTAAGTGCTAGGGTTTCCTGGGGTATGCTATAGGAGGAACTACATGCTAGCTGATCTCTGAGAATGTCTACACTTACATTTAAAAGCCAGCCATATTGTTGAACAGTTACTGAGTTCTGTAAACATGGTAAGAGCATCGATCTTGGCTCTAGCATCAGTAGATGCTAGGATTAGGTGTTACATGCACAGATTATTTTTGACCTGGGCCAGTTCACACCTTCTTAGGCAACCTGGTGGTCCCCTGCTTCCAGGAGGTCACCATATTGATGCCGAACTTAGTGTGGACACCTGATTGGAATAACGCACTACAGCCCTGAACTCCTGGGCTGAAGCAATCCTCCATCCTCAGCCTACCAAGTAGCTGGGACTACAGGTGTGCCACCATGCCTGGCAGCGAAGATTGTTTTTAAGGAGAATAAGCAACCGTTGCCAGTGTTCACAGTTGGGTAAATTAAAAAAAAAAAAATTGGCTTTTCCCCTCAAAAGTAAGGCGGGCCATATGTGGAATTTAAAACCCTCTAGAGTAAAACACTACAGGGAAGGGGGTGGGTGGGAAATGAAGTAAATGTAACTACAACTAACTCAAAACGTTAATTCTCCCATAATATGAAGAAGCATATTTGTAGTAAAATTGGAAGACAGCTATGCTCACCACTATATCACCAACGCACCTTGTAGTAAAATTGGAACTCTGAGCTAGGGGATTTGTTTGGGTATTCCTTTTACAAGTCCTCCCATGCTAAACTTAACCATGGTGGAACTTACTTGGCCCTATTTGTCTCTTGCTCAAGAGACTTCCTGAAAGTCAGACAAAGCTGGGTCTGGATCTTCCAGCTTTTGAATCCAATATTCTACAATGACATGATGTCCCTTTTACACAGGCTTGTAAGCTTGCCTGTATAGCCAGAGGTAGACAGGCTGTTTTCTAGTTCTGAGACAGCAGGATGTCACTCAAGTTCAGATTATAGGCACTCATGTTATGGGACATGAATTGCTCACGTCAGTGCAATCTGGAACACTGAGATGCCGGGTGAAAGCCTTGATATTCCAAAGACGAGTTTTATTGGCTGGAGCTTCCACTCCTATTTTATTTACATTGAGGGCTAATATGGTGACCAATGAGAGCGAGCGTCCATCAGATTTCTGCACTGCTTTTCTGTGAGCACTGACTACCCTGTGAATTCTACATCCAGCCACAGGAAGCCCATCCCAAGGCTCCAAGCAATCTGCTTCCCAGGATAGCCGATTTATCTCCCTCTCCCCACCCCAGTTTTTAAAACTTGGAGAATTGAAGTAGCATTGCATACAAGTTTCAAGTGTGCATTATTATACATTAAACTTTCCACTGAAAGGTCCTTCATACAACTGAAATCTCTTACCAACCACCTACAAGTAGTTGTGATAGTTCAGTATCCTCTCCACGTGATTAAATTTAGGGATCAAGGTGTCTATTTCCAAATACACTCCCTGGTTCTGGTTCTTTGATGGCGTTGGGTATTTATCAGAGCCGGACCCACCCTCCCTTTTACCATAAGAAGCGCAGGGCTACTTTTCTGCAGCAATGAGTAGTGTTAGAACTGACGCCCAAGTCTCTAGACCAGCAAATGCTTTTTACACGGTAGCAGACACGTCGGGGACAGAAACCCCTGCTCCCCACCGCTAGTCGCCCTCATTTCATTAGCACTTGAACTGACACCTTGCAGGCTGTCAGGTACAGATGTGGGTGTACTTAAGACCTTGCTGACCGGAGGGGGCGCGCAAGCCCAGCAGCTTGAGTCGCACTACCAATAGCTCTGAGATGGGGAAACCCACTCCCGGAGGAGGACGCAAGGCTGAGACTGCTACGCATCCGTAATCCCAAACCCGCCAGGGCTAGTTCCCCAGAAGTAACATGAACCCCTAGGTGAGGGCCTAGCCCTGCATCTAGGGAGGAAGTGGGAATTCCCAGCA